CTATGCAGTACCCACTGTAAGAAGAGAAGAAAAAATAGAATTTATTGCTGAATAAATACTTTGTCTTCTATGATGAATTACATTCATTTCATCAATTGACAATCTGGTAGATGATGACTTCAAGCAGAATTTGTTCGTGGCTTTTATTTATGATTATTACAAAAGTAGTTGGAGAAGATACATGATCAGTGCAAATGTCCTTGATACCTGATTCTAAATTTCAATGTGCCAATGCAACGTGTTTACCATTCATTAATGTTATTACATCAAACAGTAGAAATTGTCAACTAGCCTGTTTAACTCAAAGTCAATGCAAAGCAGCAACTTTTCATCGATCAAATTCTAATTGTGAATTATTCTCTGATATGCTGAATCAAAACGAAAATATGTTGGTTGATGTGGATGCTGCTAGTATGAATGTTATTAGTGGCACACGATTTCCACTCGGTCAGTATAAATAGAATAGATTTAGGAGAAAAATATATCGCTGACTGAAAAAAAGTTATTTTCTTCTTGAGAAATAAGTTGAGTTTATCGAGAATTAGGACAATTTGTTAGAGATATTGAACACATCTATGTGTAAATCACAGATCGGTTCGCCTCAAAATGACAGAAAAAACATTCAGCAAAAACCTTTTTGGAAATGATTCTATTTGAATCAAATGATCTTATTTTTCGAATTCTACTTTAAAAATATCTTAGTGAAACGAAATCTTTAAGAGATCTGAAACTAAACAATTAATACAATCGAATATTAAAACTATAACGAAGAAAAAATAAGATAACTATTCCATGAAATTTGTATAAATATTATGAATTTCATATTCAGAAATCTATACAAAATATCGATGTCTATTAAACAAGCTTTTATCAGAATTTCAAACAAATATAATGATTAGTACAGATCTTTAGGAAATAAATAAGAAATTACAGAAGTTTTTTTGTATTGAAATGATCATCATAAACACTTTGAGGTTAATATTACATCTGGTTAAGCCATTTCAAAAATATTGAACTTAAAATGGAAACTTAAAACTTCTGAGTATAACAGGAATATATTATGTCGAAATTTTCCTTTGTCTCAGAAAGAATCCCTAAACACTGTAACTAGACACACTACAATAATGAAGAATTTTGAGAAGAAAATGATAAATTAGACCAATCTGCGTTCAATCAATTTCGTGGTAGATACTCATTCAGTTAGAATTAGTCTCTGGTCAGAATCTTATCTTAAATAAAAACAAAAGATTTCAAGAAAAGAATCAATATGTAAATCTTATATTACTCAATCTTTCTAATTCGAAAAGATGCTTTCTTATTAAGCTTCTAAGAAATGCAAATTGAGCTGTCAAAATTATTATAGTAGAGATAATTATAATTAACGTAAATATCGTAGAATTGCAATTATAGCAGAAATTATTTAAACGTTCCCTATTTTGTCATAATCAATTCATATTTAACGTTGATATTTTGTTACACAAAAAAGAAACAAATATTATCCAACTGTTTAGTCTCACTCTAAAATCATTTTTTCAAAATAGAACCGACTACGACATCAACAGCCACAACATCAACATCAACGTCCACCACAACAACATCATCAACAACTTCGACAACAACATTAACAACAACATTCACGACGTCATCAACAACAACATCCACAACATCATCAACAACAACAACAACAACAACAACATCCACTACATCATCAACATCAACAACAACA